AATGGTTGAATGAGCAGTTGAAATGAATAGAAACTTCTCCAAAAAAGAAGTACAAATGGCCAATAAGTACATGAAAAAATGTTCAGTATCTTTGGCCTTAGAGATATAAATCAAAACAACATTAAGATTCCATCTTACTCCAGAAAGAATGGCTATCATCAAGATCTCAAACAACAACAAATGCTGGAGGGTTGTGGGGAAAAGAGAATATTTCTACATTGTTGGTTGGAATGTAAATTAGTACACCCATTATGGAAATCAGTATGGTGCTTCCTCAAAAAACTAAAAATAGAGCTACCCTATGATACAGCTGTACCACAACTTGTTATACAGCCAAGAAAATATACTCTAGATTTTATAGGAATGCTGCATATTCAAGTTTATTGTGGCACAATTACAATAGGCAAGATATGGAACCAGCCTAGGTGTCTATCAACAGATGAATGGATAAAGAAAATATGGTATATATACACAATAAAGCATTATTATTTTTTTTGCTTAAATTCTTTTATTGGTACATTTGAGGTATACAATAGTTTACATTTATCATTGGGTGCTTGTACCTGTACATGATGTATCTTGGTTCTTATTTTTTCCCCATTCCCTGCCCTCCCTTCACCCCCTCCACCCTTCCCTATTTACAAAGACTTTGTTTCCATTTTTTTCTTTTCTCATCTTTTTTCTTTTCCCCTTCCCCTCCCACTTCCCCTACCCCTTTGGACCTTTTCTTCCTATTTCAAATTATCAATTATTCATTTTAATCATTTTAATCGTTATTTACACTTTCAGTTTCTCACACTAGAGAAACTATTCGGTATTTACATGTGTGTCCTATTTATTTCACTTAAGAGTATGGCCTCAATATGCATCCATTTAGAATAAAGCATTATTTAGCCACAGTGAAAGACAAAATTATGTCATTTGGCTAGGCATATTGGTGCGTACCTGTCATCCCAGCACTCGGGAGGCTAAGGCAGGAGGTTAGCAGCAAGTTCGACACCAGTCTGGGCTACATAGTGAGTTCAAGTCCGGCCTGAACTACATAGCAAGACCCCATCTCAACAAAACAAAACAAAACAAACTTACGTAATTTGCAGGAAATGAATGGAACTGGAGACCAACATGTTAAGCAAAATAAGCCAAACTCAGAAAGCCAAGTACTGCACATCTTCCCTAATATTTAGAATCTAAAACAGATGACATGAAAGTAGAATGGAGACTTACTAGACAAAAGGAAAGGAATAGGGGGAGGGTGAAGGGGTTGTGAGGTTAACAGGGGAGATGAATAAAAGTTATTAATGATAACCTTAAGAGATCATGATGTTGACCTAAATTTGTTGAGTTGAAAATGTGCCCACTACATTCTGTTAAATGAAGAGCAGTTTATATAACAGGATATATAAGACTACCAATTTTTACTTTAAAAATGCATTAATGGATAGAGATATCAAGAGATCACTTAAAATAGTGTTCATTTAACTGTTTTAATACATCTCAGGGAGTAAGATGCTGAGCATATTTTTCTTTTTGTTTAAGAGTAATTTTTAATTTGTGCTATTATGTGAGGTGATGGATATGTTATTTAACTTGATTGTAGTAATTATTTCATAATACGTATGTATCTTTTTTTTTTTTTGGAACTGGGGATTGAACTTGGGTCCTTGCGCTTATGCAGCAGGAGGTGAAACCACTGAGCTAAATCCCTGGCCCTTGATACCTATGTATCTTAATACTTGATATGTTATACCTTAAATACATATGATCTTACTTGTCAATTTTGCTCAAAAAAAATAAGTTTGTGTGTGTGTGTATGTGTGTTTGTGTGGTACTGGGGATTGAACTCAGGGCCTTCATGCTGAGCTACATCCCCTGTACTTTTTATTATTTTGAGACATGTTTTCTCTAAATTGCCCAGGCTGGGCTCAAACTTGTGATCCTCTTGCCTCAGCTTCTTCTCAGAGAGCTGGGATTATAGGTATGCACTACCATGCTGGGCTAAAACTATAATGATAAAAAAAGAATGAACTTTGGCCCGTATCTCTGACCATATGCAAAAATTAACTCAAAATTCATCAATCACTTACATATAAGAGTTAAAACTGTAAAATTCTTAGAAGAAAATATAAGGGTAAATAATCATGATCTTGGCAGTGAATTCATAGAGATGGAACCAAATGTACAGGAAACAAAAGAAAAAAAATAAGTAAATTATTCTTCATCAAAATAGGAAACTCTGCTACATCAAAGAATGCAATTAAGAAAATGAAAGAAAAACTTAGAGAATGGGAGAAAATATTTGCAAATTATTCATCTGACAAAGGTCTAGTGTCAAGAATATATAAAGAACTCTTACAACTCAACATCAAAAGGACACATAATAATCTGATTTAAAATGGGCAAAAGGAGAGTCAAGATGCAGGTAGCAGTTCACAGCCCTGGGCTAGTGAGTTCAAGGCCAGCCTAGTGAGAACCTGTCTCAAAAAAAAAAAAAAAAATCGTGGTGAACAGAAAGGGAATGTAGAGGAAAGAATGAAGCAATGACAACCCTGGTCCTAGGGAGGGAGGCACAAGGGATTCTGCAGGCACAGAGAGGGTTGGCAACCCTAGTGATTAACAGGAGACCAGTAGTGACAGCCACTGGAAAAACCCAAGGTCATTGCAATGTGGGTACTTACTTTGAAAGTGACTCTTTCACATGGCAGGCTAGCTTTGGAGAAGAAATTCTCAGTAGCTCTTGCCATAGCTAGAGGTGGTATAACAGTAACTGGTTATACAGAATAGAACTTTAAAAGTTAGAGTTTTTTCTTGTAGAGATAATTTCTCTATGCTTTCTCCTGCTGAGCACATAACCAATACCCCCTTCCTCTACTCAGTCCAAAAGAATTGACAAAATATGCAGGTGCCAGCTCTAGGAGGAAGGCACCTAGTTTCCTTTCATGAGCAAGGGATCAATGAACTGAAAATGATAAAGCAAACACAGAGAACTGCTTTGTTTTTCTGAGCTCCTCTCCCCTCTGTTCCTTACTATAAAAGACTGTTCTTTGCTCATCTGTACAAAGGGAGATGGTGATGAGGCAAATGGGGGCCTCTATCTCCTTGGAGCTAGCTTTGAATGAATTGTTTTTCCTTTTTTACCAAAACATATGGCCTCCTTTGATTTGGTTAGCGGTAGGCAAGTGAACCTGAGCATGAACCTCAGTGGCCACTCTGAACCAAGAGCTGTATCGAGAGGAGGCTTATTGTGTGAGGCTGAGGTCCTCCAGGGACCAAAGTTCAACGAACAACCACCCCTCAGGGTCCATGGTGACACCCCACCTCAGTGGCTGGACAAGAAACAGTGTCTCCACAAGAGACAGTCCTGGAGAGGGAAAGGGCTACTTACAGACTTCCTGGGAAAGACTTGGAACTACAGGCATAGGCAAGAAAGAACGCTTCCTCTTTCTGAGTCTTATGTATATTTCCCAAAGTTGTATCCTCATTCCACTTTTCTCCTTAGCTTCACTTATTATCTTTGTGCTGCTGATTCTCAAGTCTCCATCCTTAGTCCTACTCCTAGTCCTAAATTTCCAGCTGCTTTCAGAATATCTCCTTGTGGATATCACCCTAATGCCTTAAATTAATAGGTCCAAAAGTGAACTCACCTTCCCCCCCATGGCTGCTCTCCATCCCAACTCTGTAGCCTTCCTTGGCTGTCCTATCTGAAACACGACTGCCTCCCTGCCATATTTTATATGTCCCCCTCTCCTGCTTGAGTGATGTCCTCCTTGTCATTTATCACTATCCAATGTTCTGTTTTATTTGTTCATAGTTTGTCTCCCTTGCCAAAATGTTAATTTCACAAGAGCAGGAATTTTTGTCTGCTTTGCTTATGATGTAACTCCAGGAACTAGAACAGTGCAGGCATTCAGTTGGTGATTGGTATTTACTGAATGACCTAATGAATCCTCTTTTCCTTTGATTCCCATTATCAATTAACCTAGTTAGTTCTACATCTATAGCATCTCTTGCTTCCTCTTGTGCTGTTGACAGGTTTGTTCAACTTCACTGAGTCTCAGAATTATTCAAGAGCTTACCACATGATGGCTTGTTATTTAAATTATCTTAGCTTCCGTTCCTCATGCTAAAATGAGGCTATTCATAATACAAATGCATAAAATTGTCACGAGACTTCTAAACATGATACACGTACAGCACCTGGCCCAGTAGCTGAAGTAAAATAAGCACTCAAAAAAATGCTACCTGTTTTTAATCAACCCTCCAGCACTAGCTCTGGGCTAGCTTTCTTGTCTGGTTTCTTTTTGCTGAACGCCATACTTCAGCCCAAAAGGACCACTTATGGTTTCCCAAACATGATACGAACCTCCATGTTCTCTATGTAACAGACAGGGAACAAGGCTACATTAGCTAATTCATTTCTCACTGCTATATAAAGCATTGTTGGACTAAACAACCTCTAATTTTCATCAAAGGAAGGGCAAACTGGACACCTAATTTTTTCTTTTTTAACACTTGGCAAAAGGTAAGAGAACTATTTCTGGTTTTCTTGTTTGCACCCAGAGGTTCCAGCTAACCTGAATCATAAGCCTTCAATAGTTTAGGATAGTGAGGCCCAAAATGGATAAGTAACCTACCTGCAATTACACAGGAGCATAGTACCTAAGTTGCAGAGGATTCATTTTTTCAATCTTAGTTCTCTTTGTAACATAACATGTTGGTCAAAAATCTCAAACAATCATGATTTAGAAAAGTTCATTTCTCATGTCCCTGAGAATACTTCCATAATGGGAAGACCTAGTTAAAGTTGTTATTCCTAAACCATCTCCGACTCTTAGCATTCAAAGTGGAGGGAAAGTGGTAGTACATAGGCACCACAGTGAACTCCTCTCCAGCCCTTAGCAGACAGGCTGCTCATCTGCTGCACCTAGGTGATTTAGATTAAGCAAGCCACACAGAAGCAAGAGAGTCACTCAGTAACTACACAGGGCTACATGGACATTTACCTGAGCCAAGGCAGAAGACAAGTGGGAGAGATTGGATCAGCCAGAACATGCTCTGGGTGGTGGAGACCGGAGCTGGAGAACTTGAGGTAATCAACATTGCTATCTGCTGTCAGCTGAAAGTACTTCTTACTTCCCTTTCCTCTCAGAGAAGTGGTGTAAGACCTTCCCCTCCCACACTAAAAATCTGGTTACAGACTTCTAGTTTAATTACTAAATTAATTATAAACAAACTTTGTATAATTTTACTTTTTCAAAAATTTATTAAGACTTATAATGTAACTTAACATGTGTACTTGAGAAAATGTGTATTCTGTTGTTGGGTGAAATATTCTGTGTATGCCTGTTAGATGCACTTTGTTGGTAGTATTGTTTGAGTATTCTACTTCTGAATTTCTTTAGTTTTTTTGTTTTTGTTTCATCATATTTAACATGGTTTCAACATCTTTGATAAGTTAAATGCCTGTGCCTTCTTAGGGACTGTTTCTGTCAACTTATTTTGTGTATGTTTTATGTGTGTGTGTTTGGTACCAGGGATCGAACTTGGGTCCTTGCGCTTGCAAGGCAGGCGGTGGAATCACTGAGCTAAATCCCCAGCAATGTGTGTGTTTGGAATTAGAAAAATTTTAAAATAAATTATTTTTTGGAAAAAATAGCTGTCACTTCCTGTCTTTGTGAACAGGCTCTGTAATGGGGCTGTCCTTCACCAGTTAGCTTAGCTATTTCTGATGCTAGGGATCAAGGTGCTTTAGTTTTCATATGGTTTGAGGGTATCTCCCAAAGGTCCATATGCTGGAAGCTTGGTCCCCATTGTTGGGTGCCCGTGTCAGTCCCAGTGTTGGTTGCAATGTTGGGAGGTGGCAGAACCTTTAAGAATTGGGGCCAGGTGGGAGATAATTATGTCATTGACAGTGCTACCCTTGGAAGGGGTTAGTGTAGTTCTCTAAGGAGTCTGGTTGGTTTGCAGAAAAATGGATTGTTATAAAAAGAGTAAACTTGGCCTCTGAATGCTTCTAATTTCCTGTCTCACCATGTGATTTGCTTGTACACACACACTGAAGCCATGATGTTGCCAACTGGCATGAGACCTTCACCAGAGGTCAAACAGATGAGGAATTTTCAACCTCTAAAACTCAGATCTAAGCATACCTTTTTTCTTTCTAAAGCACCCAGTCACAGGTATCTTGTTATAGCAACATAAAGTGGGCTAATACCCAGTCTAAAGTGAAACTCAGATCTTCTCAGCTCTTTTCTGAACATGTACCTTGCCTGTGCTCCTGGGTGGCTTTCTCAATTTCCCCATGTACAGAGCTGCTTTTGAAAGTCCTTACTTTCTCCTCCCATGCCCATTTCTCCACGGGGCTTAGGTGGTCTGTTGTTTGCAAACACAGATAATCCCTTGCCTCAAGTTTTTGTGAGTCTGTAGCCTCCTTGAATCTTTCACAGCAATGTCTACTACTTTCCCACTTGAGATCTGTGTTAGGCAAAATAGAGACCAATAGACAGGTTAGAACTTTACTAATATCAAAAGAAAGACGTTAGCAAATTAAATTTAACAAAGTTTAATGGAGCAAAGTTTCTTTCATGAATTGAGCAATGTCCAGAACTAGTGAAGATTCAGAGAGTGTGGTGTCACAGTATGTGCAGGGGATATTTATGGATGGAAAAAGGAAATGATGCACAGAAACAGCTTGGTTGGTTAGCTCAGCATTTGCCTTATTTAGACAGGACCTGATCAGCTGTCAGCCTGTGATTGGCTGAAGCTCAGCTCCTGTGATTGGCTATGACTCAGCTATTTGTTACAAAACTATTCTACTAATTTAGGCTTTTAGTTTGTATAGTATTAAATTGCATTTCCTTATATAGGGACACCAAGGTATGGCGGTTGACCTGAGCCAGGTTTCAGTTAGTTTAACAAAAATAAATCTTCCTTGTACCCTTTGGCTCAAGGGAAGGAACTAGGAACTAAACTCCTGCTTCTCCTGAAATAAGTTTGTTGTAGCACTAAGGAGTGGGTGGGACAAAGGTGAATAAAAATGCTTCCTACCATTTTGCTGGTGGCTTTCTCTTGATTGATCATCTGATTAGTTTTCACAAGTCCCAGAGTTCTATAAGGTTAAGTAATTTTGAATTGATTTTTTTATACAGGGTGAGAGATAGGGATCTATTTTCAATCTTCTACAAGTGTACCTCCCAGCATTATTTGTTAGAGAGGCTGTCTTTTTTCAAAGTATATTTTTGGCTCCTTTGACAAGAATCAAATGGCTGTAGTTGCATGAATTTGTTTCTGTGTCCTCTATTCTGTTTCATTGGTCTAAGTGTCTTTTTCTTTTTTGTGTGTGTGCCAGAACCATGCTGTTTTTGTTACTATGGCTTTGTAGTATAATTTGAAATCAGGTGTGGTGATATCTTCAGCATTGATCATTTTACTTTGGATTGCTTTGGCTATTCTGGGTCTTTTGTGTTTCCATATGAATTTTAGGATTGTTTTTTCTAGTTCGGTGAAGAATCTCATTGGTATTTTGATGGGGATTTCACTGAATCTGTAGATCTCTTTTGGTAATATGGCCATTTTGACAATATTAATTCTGCTGATGCATGAACATGGGAGATCTTTTCATCTCCTGGTATCTTCAATATCTTTCTTCTGTGTCCTGTAATTTTCTTTTCTTTTCTTTGTGTGTGTGTGTGTGTTCTGTAATTTTCATCATAAAGGTCTTTATCTTCCTTGATTAGATTGATCCCTAGGCATTTTACTTTATTTGTGGCATAGGCTGTCTTTGAACTTGGGGTCCTCCTGCCTTAGCCTACTGAGTGTTGAGATTACAGTTGTGTGTCAGGCCATTCCTGGGGGCCTTCTAGTTGTTTGTTATTTATTTATGTATTTTGGTACTGGGGATCGAACTTGGGACCTTGTTCTTGTGAGGCAGGTGGTGGAACAACTGAGCTAAATCCCCAGCCCTGGCCTTCGAGTTATGATGAATATGTGACCTCTTGGAATCCTAAAAGGTGACAGCACTGGCTCCAAAGGAAAATTTTACATAGAAGTGTTAGCAACTTCCTGGAATTACTTATTGCTTGGTAACCTCAGCTTATTTGTTTTATTTCTTAAACTTCCATCACTTTTTTTTTTTACTTCTATCACTTTAAAAAAATTTTCTCTTCCATCACTTTTTATATTCAATTTCCTACATTCAATTTATTGGGTTTGCAATGCTTAATATGGTTCCAGTTTTTCTGATTAGACATTGATTGAAACACCTTCTGGTTTTAGCTTGCTAAGAAATTTATGTTTTTAGATTAGTCATGGTGTTAAACTTATCAAATATATCTTGCAGAATCTGTCAAGATGATTATGTTTTTATCGCTCCTTTAAGCTGGTTAGATCAATAAAAGACAATAGAAGATTTCTTAAATTTAAATCTTCCTTGCATTCTCATGATAATTCCTACTTCATTGCATTTAAAAATGTATCCGTGGGTTCTGTTTGCTAGAATTTAAATTAAGACTATTAATTTTTATGATCGAGATTGGTCGCATCAGGATGTGGCAAACTTTTCTGTGAAGGTTCAGAGAGCAAAGGTTTTAGTCTTCATGGACCATACCATCTCCTTTGCAATAACACAAACGTGCTGTTGTAGAGTGAAAGCAACCACAATCAACACATACAAGTGTTAGCTGTGTTGCAATAAAACTTTATTTAAGAACACACAAATTTGAATTTCATTTAATTTTCAAATGTCACAAAATACTATTTTTCTTTCGAATTTTCCTAATCATTTAAAAATCTAGGGCCGGGGATTTAGCTCAGTGGTTTTGCCCCCTGCTGCACAAGTGCGAGGACCCAAGTTCGATCCCCAGTACCAAGAAAAACAAACAAACAAAAAGTCTAAAAACTATTCTTATCCCATGGGTCACATGAAAATAGATATCAGATTGGATTTAGTCATGGACCATAGTTTGTTAATCCCTTGTCTCTTTGGAGGGGAGGGAACTGTTGTTTGGTGTCTTGATGTCCTGGCTTTTTCAGAGATGGTTGAATCAAGCATGTGTGATGCTGGGATTAAGGTGTATGATTACTAAATTAATCCACTGATTGGTTTGGCATTTCTGTAATCCTGGTAGCATAGATAGAACATAAAAGGGACAGAAAGAAACTGCTAAATTCCCTTGCCTTGTTTGCTCTCTCCTGCCTGCTTGCCATGGACTGTTTCTCCTCCGTGATGCCCTCTGGCATGCCACCCTGCCTTGGAGCCAGCCGACTATGGACTGAAACCTCCACAAACTGTGAGCCAAATAAACCTTTCCTCCTTTAATGTTAGGTGTTGAGTGTTTTGTCTCAGCAATGAGAATAGTAACTAAGATAGACTTTATCTTACTTTGGCTTTGGAATCAGTGTTCAATGAACTTGGAAGCTTCCTACTGTTTCTCTGCTTAGAGACAGTTAAAATAACATGGGAATTCTTGTGAAAGTGGTAGATGTAGACTGATAAAGACTATATAAGCTTAGTGGACTTCAGGGAATAATATCACCAAGTATCTTTTCCATTTTTTCTAATTAAAGAAGTTCTCCTAATTTTGAACTTTTATGAATTATTGTAGTCATAATCTGAGCAATTCATTGATTCTTTCTGCCGTGGGTTGACATCTAATGGGCAACATGATTCTATTTGTGTTTTGGAAACAAACAGTGTTTGTGACTGTGGTATAGAGAATGGATCAGACTGCAGGCAATAAAGCTCTATTGTCTGGGTGATAGGACTGATAGTAATATAGCTAGTAGTGACACAAGAGAAGTAGATGGATCATGGAAATATTCTGGAAGTGTATTAGTGGATTTCAAGGCCACCTTCAGTTTCAGTGATTCAATAAGAAGAATAATGGCTCTGTATATTAGCATATTTGTGACTATGACTAATTAGAGCAAATGGACACAAAGCAAAATCAGCAAAGGGAAAAAGGTACATGGGGCAAAGTCCAGAGGAAAGTAGGTATGAGCTTCCAAGAGTTCTCTCTTAGTGGACTCACATGGAAGTTCTTAATTCCTTCATTACACATCGGGCAACACATTTGAATTATAGTCTATCA